GAGGCTACATTGGAAGAACAGCTTTCATGGTGTCCATTGCTGTGACTCTTCTAGGTTGGACCTGGAGCTGACGCGAAGAGGCTGAAGACCTTGGTGGACTAGGAACACTCCATGGGGACGTCAGTGGTGGACATTGACTTGGAATGGGACTTGACCGCAGGAAGCCCGGACTTCTCGCCGTTTGGTGTGACCCTTATTGGTGGTGTTTCCAACACTTTCTCTTTTAATGGTGAAGAGGCTCCCGTATGGTGCTGGGCCGAGGAATGAATATTTGCACTTGTACCATGCTGCACCTCCAGGGCCGGCTGTTGCCCCTCCCCCTGCCGTAGGGTGTTCATTTTACCTGCTGTGGGGTAGTTTAAGTGGGAGGAGGGGTCGTCCCAGTAAAAAAATAAAAATGGATGACCCCCTGACCTGCGTCATACCATTAGAAGACACTGGAGGGTGGGGCACTGAAACCCAAAAATAGGCCCCCCGAGGCTGAGGGGTCCCCTCGCCACGTGTTGTGTGTTTTTTAAAACTTGGATTACTTGAATTCGGAGGAATGTACAGTGTTTGCGTTGCTCGCAGCCAATCAAATTCCAGCTTGAACTTCAGCCAATTATGATGGAATGCTGCGCTTCGGCCTTCATTCGTCAAGTTGTGAAGTACTTAAGGAGTGCCAAAGTGGCCCCTGAAGCTGCCGCACGTGAGAAAGTAGCTTGAGGGGCCACTTTGGCATGCCTTTAAGGGGAAACCCTACAATACGACCAGGAAATTATTTCAGGTCGGCAATGGAATCCTCGTTGTCTACTTGATGCCCTTTAAGTGCTACGGCGGGCCGATGAGCTCGGCCTATGGAGGACGGACCGCGGTGAGAATTGGTGTCGCAGTGCGGCGCTCTAGACTGTTACACTGGAGCTCTGTCTACTTTTATCTGCCTTTGTATTATTGTCATGTGCCCTGTGTAAGGTTCTTAGAGGGGGTGCTCTATGGAGGGATATTTGCCCCTTCGGAGGGGGTACTCTATGGAGGGGTTCAGAGGGCGTGCTCTATGGAGAGGTATTTGCCCCTTCAGAGGGCGTGCTCTATGGAGAGGCATTTGCCCCTTCACAATACCACAATATGGCCACCAGATGGAGCTGAGGAGCAAAGGAAACAAGTATTCAAGTGGAATGTATATACAGTGATGTAATACTGAACTTTGGCCACCAGGTGGAGCTGAGGAGCATGAGAACCGACAAGTATTGAAATCGAATGGAGTTCCTCGGCTCCATGCCACCAGGTGGAGCTGAGGAGCAGCATTTCTTTCCCATGCTCCTCCATCTAGTGGCCGTATTGCGGCATTACATCCCTCGGACCGCAAAAGAACATTTGTAAAATAACAACAAATCTCTCAATATTGTGTTTTTCATCTTTTTTTTTTTATTGTTTTCTCACCACATAAAATGGCCTCTCACATCACAAAGACACAAACGTTTAATGTTTGCAGGGAAGAGTTCCGCAGCGAGAATGAAGAAGGAAACGTTTCTGCGCGAGGACACGTACAATGAAGATTGTGATTTTTTTTTTTTTTTACACTCGATTTTTTTAATAGCAGAAGCCGGAAATCAGAGGAAGAGAAGCTTATTACAAAAAAAAGGGGGGGGGATGGGCCCAGCCACCCCTCACGCAGTACGCAGACCAGCTGCGTCTTCACAACATTCGAGACGTTCATCATCGTGAGGCTAAAAGCGTCCCCGATCTCTGAAATCGCTGCGCGCGTGTCTTAAGGCCGTCGGCAGTATTAAAGGAATTTAAAAAAAAAAAAAATCTATGTTATAGATGATCTTATGGTGACGGAGAGGGGTGCGTTTATAAACAATTCGCGGGGTGAATGAACATTCGTTCTGAGCGAAGGGAGCCCGAAACGAGTGTTCTTAGTGTATTTTCCAATGCAGTACCACAGTGTGGCCACTAGATGGAGCTGGTGAGCAGAGAGAAGAGATGTATTTATTTCCTTGCTCATCAGCGCCATCTAGTGGCCATAATGGGGAATTACATTGGAAATGATAATAAAAACGTTCATTTTCGGCCTCCATTTGCATAAAACGAACATTCGTGAAGCTTCTTAAAGCGACAGCGCTATAAATTGTTTATGAATACACCCCCTGGGCAAACCTCGAGCGTACAAAGACTGAAAGGAACAGCGCGGGAGAGGGGCCAAAAATGATACTCGCAAAGCAGATACGATGGAAAAGCAATGGTAAGGTCGCCGCCATTGGCTAGGA